GCATGGACGTTTGTCATTTAACCCTGAAAAGGATTGGGACTACCTAAGAGATGGCGAATCGTTTGCGGGTATTCTGACAGCAGGACCTGTTTTTCTCCGAGCTGGGGAAGGATGAGAGGCGCAGTTCGGGAGTAAAATGACCACATGTGTTCGGTGTGGGTGGAGAGGGAACCACAAGAGCCCTTGCTGGCTGCCTCTGGGGCCCTCGGGAACGGGGCAGGTGCGCGCAGCGCGCGGGGAGCGCTCTGGGATCCCTTTCGGCCCTAAAGAAGGCCCAGGCCCCCTCGGACGTCCTGCTCTTCTTTGTCCTGGCCAGGAGCTTCCCTCCTCCCCTACGGGGCCGGCGCCGGGGACCTGGAGTTCGTCAGGAGGACCGTGGACTTCACCTCCCCGCTCTTCAGGCCCGCGACTGGCTTCCCCCTCGGCTCCTCGCTGCGCGATTCCCTCTACGTGAGTCCCGGCGGCGGCCTCAGCTCCCTGGGCCGCTTCTCTCCCCAGCTTCGAGACAACCCAGAGGAAGCAGGAGTGGAGGCAGCCTCGGCGGGGCCCCTCGTGCGCCCCACAGCCCCCTTAATGTCAGGCCTCTGCCCAGGAACACGGGGCGCCAGGCGAGGGCGGACGCCTGCTGGGCCCAGCGCTGCTCTACGCGGCCTTCCTCGGAGCAAAACGCTGCGCTTGGGAAACGGAGCTGTTCCCGCCGTGCCCGCGTTCTGGCCACCCCGTCCCTGTCCCCTGGAGCGGAGTTGGAGGGGCCGTCCTGGCTCCCGCGGCCCTCAGGGGGAGGCTGTGGGACGCACCATGAGAGGGCGACTCAGCAATGGTGAGGTGTCTACACCTGCTGAGCCATGGAGAGAGATTTCCACCCCCGAGCGATGGAGAGAGGGTGTCTACACCCCCGAGCGATGGAGAGAGGGTGTCTACAGCCCTGAGTAATGGAGAGAGGGTGTCTACACCCCCGAGGGATGGAGAGAGGGTGTCTACACCCTTGAGTGATGGAGAGAGGGTGTCTACACCCCTGAGTGATGGAGAGAGGGTGTCTACACCCCTGAGCGATGGAGAGAGGGTGTCTACAGCCCTGAGTGATGGAGAGAGGGTGTCTACACCCCTTAGTGATGGAGAGAGGTTGTCTACACCGCTGAGTGATGGAGACAGGGCTCCAGCCACTGAGGGATGGAGATAGGCTGTCTACACTTGTGACTGATGGAGAGAGGGTGTCTACACTCCTGAGTGATGGAGAGCAGAGTTTCCACCTCCTGAGCCCCACATGATGTGTCACAAGCTTCAGGATGGGGCCCAGGGGACTGGCCAAGAGGGATGTGTCTGTGATTGGCTGGTCTACAGCCGGGGATCTGCAGTGAAACAGGACCAAGCCGACCACCCAAGGACCCAAGGGATGCCTTAAGGGTGGAGTATTCTGTGAGATTATACGGAAAGGGCTCTCCCGAAGCCAGGACACAGGAGGTGACTTCCCGGGGTTGTTAGCACCTCTAAAGCTCTACCCTTGGGGGTCACGCTTCTGTGGAGCTGGACCAAGGCTGGGACTTTCCTCCCCACCTTCCTCCCTGAATGGTAACCACAAAACCTGTGTGCTTAGTTCACAGACAATGGCCAGATCATCTTCCCAGAGTCAGACTACCAGATGTTCTCCTATCCCAACCCACTCCCAACAGGCTTCACAGGCTGGGACCCTGTGGCCCTGGTGGCTCCGTTCTGGGACGATGCTGACTTCTCCACTGGTCAGGGGACCATATTTTATCAGGTGAGCCTGTCAAAGCCTGGCAGTCAGGATCCCGCAGCAGAGGAGAAAAAGAACTGTGTGGAAGGCATTGCCAGAGTCGCTGCTGTGACACCCCTGCAGCAGGGGACTGAGGCTTAAATATGGGTGTGGGAGGAAGCTGGCAAGGGATATTAAGCTGACCAGGAATACTCCAACCCAACCATGAGACTGACCAGGAATACCCCAACCCAACCATGAGAAGACCTGCAGGTGATGGGGATGGGAGCTGACAATTCAGCCTTTGATTGTAAAATCAGGCTGTAGGGGGTCTATCCTAACAAGAGTGAGTCAAGAGGGCCTGTGCTGTGCTCCTGGACTGGGTGAATAACTCCAATTAGAGGAAGCACGTGATGAAAGCTACTGCAGGAAGTGTGGACCATGTGCCTGCCATGGACGAAGTGTGGACTGTGCCCCTGCCATGGACAGGGCAGTGTGGAGGCTCCAAGAGGGAGAGTCTCATGCCTGTTCTCAAGGAGCTGCAGATTAGGCATGGGGAGGTAAAAGTGGGCCTGAGTGGCTTTGCTCTCTGGGCCAGTTTGAGCTAAGAGATGCTTGAGTTCAAGTCCAGAGGTCTTGGACGTCTGGGCCAGGACTCTGCATTCTGCATACTGCAGGCCTTCCTGCAGCCCGAGTTTGAATTGAACTTCACGTCAGAAGAGCTCACGGCAAAAATGCAGGCCTGGGACAGGGGAGGGCAGGCCATGTGGGTGGGTCCCCAGGCAGAAAGTGGGGGTCCATGTGCGGGAGTGGGACTCTCGTTGGCTTGTTCTCATCTGCCCTCCTTTCCTAGGAATACGAGACGCTCTACGGTGAACGCAGGCTGCCAGTCCTGCAGGCCGAGTCTTGGATTAGAAAGATCACAAACAATGGCGGCTTCAAGGCCAGGTGGACCCTAAAGGTCACGTGGGTCAATGCCCACGCCTATCCTGCCCAGTGGACCCTCGGGGTGAGTAGACCCGTGGGCAGCTCCCAGGGAGCCATCTGGGAGTCAGACATCCTAGAATCCTAGGCAGGGGCTACTCTTCCAAAATCCTCTCTGGCTCTAGGAAAGATTGCTAATTATAGCAGCCCACCCACTGCCACCCCCCGCTGCTCCCACTGCTGGCAGAGCACTCACTGTGGGCCCGGCCGGCCTCAGCCCTTTGCCTACTTGACCTCACCACAGCCCAGCAAACCAGATATCATTAGGTTGAAACCTAGCAAGTGGCATTTTTGTAAGTCAAAAATGTCTGGCTATTGGGAATTTCATGTGGCTCAACTGGGTATTCTGATCCACATTTTACAGATGAGGAAGACAATGGTTAGAGAGGTTAAGTAACTTGCTCAAAGTCATGCCACTGCAAATGGCAACGCCAGGCCTGCAGCGGAGCTTCTTCTGACTCCAGCCTCTGGCCATTAAGCACGGGCTCATCCAACGGGCATGGGGCACACCACACCATCTCCTCTGTCCTCCCTCCGAGGACCCGCTCTTGTAGTCACCAAGTTCTTCCTTATGTCTGATCTAAAGTCACGCATTTCTTCATTCACTTGACAAAAGTTCACTGGTCACCTACCATGGACAACGTGTGCGCCTTCAGCGAACCCCAGTGTCATCCATGCTGTTCAGGTGGAGGGGACAATTTGAACAATGTCCTTAAATATCCGCGAGGGAGCTAACGAAGCCTCCTCTCTAGCTCTCTGGTATCTTGGCTAATCTCTCAGGTTCTGGTAGCTTTCTCTTAGAAACACTCATCTAACTGAATTATAACCCAGAACCCTTTATCTCCCTTCCTGGAAGAAAGTCACCAAAAGGCAAATCCACCGTGGTAAGTGTGTTCACACCCAGGGTGAAAGCTGCCCTCATTGACCCAAAACTTGCCAGCATTTTGGGCCCATGCCTTTGCTGTGGGCAGACCAGGAACAGGTGCTGTACATGTCCAGGCAGGGCTGTGGGACGGGCGGGGGGACATAAGAGAGGAAACCCCGGATCTCTCACGGGCATCCCTGTGTTTTCTTCCACCTACCCCCAGAGCAACACCTACCAGGCCATCCTCTCCACAGACGGGAGCAGGTCCTATGCCCTGTTTCTCTACCAGAGCGGTGGGATGCAGTGGGACGTGGCCCAGCGCTCAGGCAACCTCGTGCTCATGGGCTTCTCCAGGTAGGATGGGAGGGGTTGTCAGCACTGAGCAGATGGCAGGGAGGGTGCAGAGTGGGGTTTCACTGCACACACACTCCCACCCTGGGGCAAGATGTGAACCCTCCTGGCTGGTGCTTCTGACTCACGCTGACTCCAGCTCCCGCTGGGGCCAGGCATCTGGCTGTTTCCCACGACAAGAACACCCATTTGTCCACCACATCCTCTCCCATCCCAGTCCCCGTGCATTGTAATAATTCCCAGAGCTTTGGCTTCCCTGATTTCCACTACATTAGCTGGCCTCTCTTACCTTCTCAAATATCATGATAATAACAGCCAAGACTGATGACACTAACACTTCACGTACGTTATTGCATGTCATGATCACAACCACCCCATGAGGCGGATACTATTTATCATCCCCACTCTACAGATCAGGAAACTGAGACACAAATAGACAATTTGCCTAAAGTCCCAGAGCTGGGAAGTGGCAATGTGATTTGAACCCAGACATCTGAGGCTAGAATCTGCCTTCCCGACTTTCTGAGAATTCCAAGGAGCACCAAAAGCTTATAAGGAGCTGGTGGTGAAGGGAGAGAGGAGGCACGGGGCTGTGGGCGGTTGAAATATGGATTTCCGTGTGTGGGAGGCTGTCTCCGACGCAACAGTGCACCGTCTCTGTCCCATATGCTGGTGTGTGGCAATCAGTGCAAAGGCCACATGTCTTGTTCTTCACTTGATCTTAGCCAAAAGGCCGAGAAGCGATGTCTTTTGTCCTTGATAATTGCTGCAAATGGTCTTCTCCTACACTGAGTGTGCTCAGGTTACCCCTTTGATTACACTGCTTTCACTGGTTACTTGGTGTGCTATGAAGGTGAAAGGAGGGGAATTACCCAACTGCCTAGGAATTTCACATGGTCCAAGTACACCCGAGGAAGGTGTCACACAGGGGTGCATCATCCTGCTTGTGTCAGAGAGGAGGAAAAGCCCAAGAGTCCCCACTCTGCAGCAGGCACCCAGGATGGGGCTACAGGCCGCCGCTCCAGGCTTCTCTCCTTCCTGTGCATGCTCGGACCCCGCACCTGCAGATGGTGATGGCCATAGTGGTGGTCGTGGTGGCGATGGTGGTAGTGTTGGTGGTGGTGGCGGTGATGATAGTGTTGGTGTTGATGGTGGTGCTGATAGTGGTGGTTGTGGAAGTGGTGATGGTGGTAGTGGTGGTGATGGTGGTGATTTTGGTGGTAGTGTTGGCAGTGGTGGTGGTGGCGGTGGTGGTGGCGATGGTGGTAGTGTTGGTGTTCGTGGTGGTGCTGATGGTGGTAGTGTTGGTGGTGGTGGTGGAAGTGGTGATGGTGGTAATGGTGGTGATGGTGGCGATGGTGGTAGTGTTGGTGGTGGTGGTGGCGGCAGTGGTGGTGGTGATGGTGGCGGTATTGGTGTTGGTGGTGGTGGTGGCTGTGGTGGTGGTGGCAATGGTGGTAGTGTTGGTGGTGGTGGCGATGGTGGTAGTGTTGGTGGTGGTGGAGGCGGTGGTGGTGGTGGTGGAACTGGTGGTGGTGGTAGTGGTGATGGTGGTGGAGGTGGTGATGGTGGCAGTGTTGGTGGTGGTGG